ATAATTAGCCCTCCTTCTGAGTATATTTTTTTTTTAAAAAAAGACTACTATGTTTCCACTCTCACAGCATTTTAATGAGTAATTTATTAGTTGATTTTATACTCAGAAGAAATAATTAATTTTATCAGAGTTACAGCTCTATCCTCCAACTACGGATCCATGTAATAACTTAGCCTATAGTTCTGTCTCCAGCTTAATAAAGTTGGATGGGAGCCCTACAGACTTTGAACTTCCACTGGAAAAAGTAAAAATTACTAGGAAAAATACATGAAAAATATTGTTTTATTAAATAACATAGGCAAAATTTCCTTTGGCTTCAGGGGAAAGGCTCAAGAAGCTAGTCACAGGGACATTAGAGAGCTCACACTCACCTACATTTAACACAGAAAACTAAGGACCAGGTAATAAACATCAGGAGTAGTTTCCTACTGAATATACAACTGTGTGTCATGCAAATCCTTGGCCAAAAAAACAAAAGTCAGTTGACACAGGGCTCGATTTTGAGAGCTAAACTAAAAGTAGTCCAGAATGAGGCAAGGTTCATGCTGGAGAAGCATGTCATGGAAAAGCCATGTAAAATAAGCAGAAATATCATAGAAAAAGCTGCTTATGTAAGGTATATCAAACAACTAGGAAAGGTGTACACAGTACTAGTATAATGCTATTAATTTACTGAATAAAGATTTTAACACATGGGAAGAAATGCCAGTAATTCACAACAACAGTAGTAAAAAAAATAGTCTATCGAAAAGTATCAGCTGGAAGTGAAAATGATAGACACGAATAAACACAGCTATTTTCATACTGGATCCGAAACACTGGAGGGATATAAACAATAGAATTATTAACTGTACACTTGAAACAAATGAAGTCTCCTTTATACAGGAGTACATAAAAGCATGTATTGTTGGGGATGAAGGGCTGTCTTATACACATTAGAAGTTATCTGGTCAATATTTAAGAACATACAAAACTTCAGAAAAAGAGTTTGTGTTTGTGTCTATATGCTTTAAATTGTCCTTAATCTGGAATATGACAATTTGCACATATTTTCCTTTCAAGACCTAGAATGAGATGCTAACAACTAATGAGCTCATATATGGTTGTAGCAATCTGTCATCCTGTGGTTGAGTATTAAAAGGTCATTTTATATTAACAGCTTTCTTTCTCTCATACAGGATGGTTAACACTAGAAATTATGCTTTTAATTTCATAAAAGTAGTAAATGAAAAAAGGCAGGCAAATTTCATTTTTTGTATGGAAAGTTTTATCAGTGCTAAAATCTGAAAAACCCTAAGTTTACACAAATAAAAAATAAGTGTATGGGTATATTTCTTTTATTTCTGATCAAATACAATTTCATTAAAACTGATAAAAGCATTAAAATTTTATTTGCCCATCTTAACGTAAATGAACAAGAAGCTTGACCTATATGTTGTTTATAAGGTAGTTAAAGAGGAAACCTTTGCTCGTTAGCTTTCTACTGACAACAGCTGGCTGTGGGAGAGCTGTGTTTATTTCTCTTTCATACCCGAGATGACTTGCATCCATATCATCCTTTTCCCAGGAGATTGCCTTAATCACCATACTGTAGCTCTTGGGGGATGCTTCCTCAGAAAGCTCTTCTGTGAGGCCTTCTTTCTTCATATAATAAAATAATACGATATTAATTGGAGCAGGGACTGAGATTCAAGTGAATTCCTTGATGATAAGCCTACAGCCATATACAGTCTTTCAGTTCCCATGTTACCCCTCTCCACCAGCTTCCTCCCCTCAGGTCTTAAAGTTTGGTCCTCCAGATTATTAAAATCAAACTTTAGTGTGAATTTGGGTATACAGATCTGCATAAAAGGCTCTCCCCCCTCTCCCTCAATTACTGGAAAACAAGAAATATGTTTTCAACTAAAAATGCACTTTCCATGTCACTCTGATGAAGAAACATTATTGTTTTCTGAAAGAATGGAAAGGATCAAGTCATATACGTTGTGTTTGACACTGGGAGTGCAGGTGGCAGAAGTTTTCATCATTCTTCATCAAGAAAAAATTAAAGATCTTGGTGTACTAAATCCATAAACTTTAAACTAAATACCAAACTGTTACCTAAAAAAAATAAAATATCAGCTTACCAAGAAAACCTGAACATTATGCATTATAACTGAAGGGAAAATGTTTCAAACTTTCACAGTAAAGAACAGGCCCAAATTACCTATGTCCTTATTCTCATTCAAACTTTCCATTAACTGCAATGGAACTCCTTGGCAGAATTCGGTAAATATTCAAAGCAGATCTTTGGCTCTGCTGCAGGAGTAAGATCTGAGCAAAATTTCAGCAGTTGAGTGTTTGTATTATGACTTTTGAAAAGCTTGTCTGCATTATGTGCATACTCCTTGTGAACACATTGAATTCAAATTACCATTTATCATTGTATCAAGTTATATTTTCTGAACCATCCCTGATTGAAGACCTAATAAACATGCGGGACTCCATCCAACAGATAACTAATTCTGGTCAGAGCAAATACAAACATGAAAGTGCTTATAAACAAACAAACCAACAGAAATCAGTCATCTGCCAGACAGCACCAAAATTTTCCCCTGGTAGTATGCCAACAGAAGTTTAAAATTATAATCATTCTGTATACATTTCAGAAACAAAGCTGCTTTTTTTTTTTTTAATGGAAAAATAGTACAATAGTAAGGAAAAAAAGTGACTATTCCCTACCAAGATTTCAATACGGAATAAACAGCCACCCTTGAAAAGCTCATGATGGTGTTTTATTTCCCAACCACACTAACATACCTTGATAACAGTCTCTTTCTATCACACCTGACAACACAGCAACATATTAATGTCAAGCAACGATGAATTTTTTAAATTAACATCTTGGATAAAATCTGGGTCCCAATTAAATCACATACAAATTGAAAATACCCACGATTTTAGGCATATGGTGCAAAAGGACCTCAGCTTCATCATCTCTAGCACAATTTTCAGAAAGAGCATTAAATGAATCCAAAATTCCACTATTTACTGAACAAGATTCTAGATTCTATCATTACTAACTTGGTGCCAACATTCAGACCTTTGACATAATCTATACAAGAGTAGTCAACTTCCATGGAAATAATTTGGGTCTATCACTTTGTTGAGAAAATACTTTTCAAATGTTGTCATTATCAACCACAAGATAAAAATGCCACAAAAATGTTAAGATCAAGTGAAGTATATACTAAAAAAAGGGAATTTTCTCAGCTGCTGAACAATGTTTTTGCTACTATTTCTCTGCACTGTGATTCATCATATATGTTAAATAAGAAGAGCTAAAAGTGAAACAGAGTTGAAACTGGAAGATGCAGGATTTCAATTCATATCTGCTGATTTATAAACCTCTCAAACTAAGGAGGTGATCAGAATCCTTTGAAATCAATGGAAAAACAACTCAAATTTTCACAGACTCAGAGGGGTCATACTAAAAGTTTTGCTTCACTTCCTAGGCTCTTAGATAAATATACTAGTTATATATAAAATATAACAGTCACTACAAAAAGAGACATGGCCCAACTAAATGAAAAAATACAACCTCTGTGTATCATGAGAATTAACAATTACTTCAGGCATTCATCACTTCCATGTGTTGCTCTTCTGTTCACCTACTAGATTTTTAAATCAGAACATACCATTAGGATCATTTATTTTGGTCCTCTATGAAGTGCACTAATTTCCTCATCAAGCGCATGACTTCTCATAGCTACATCATATTTGGAGGAAAAACAAACTGTTGCAGCTTTTCATTACGAAATTTTATCACCAAAGGAACCTATCACTGAAAGTTTTAATTTTAATGGAATTTCTACTGAGTAAATTAAATTTTATTTCTTATTAAATTAGTTTCACCAGTTTTCTGTTTGTTGTAAGCCAAAAGCTAGGACCTTTAATTCTAGCGAGTATGTAGCTCATAAGTGTTCCACTCTGAACTGAGTGGAGCACGCAAATCACAGAATCACAGAATCACAGAATCACAGAATCACAGAATCACAGAACAGGTAAGGTTGGAAGGGATCACAGTGGGTCGTCTGGTCCTCCCTGCTCAAGCAGGGTCTCCCGAGAGCACATTGCACAGAACTGCATTCTCTAAAAGCACTGCATGAATTAGCAGAGATGTAGTTCGTATCACTAAATCTACAATCAGTAACGGTGACATTCATTCTAGTAAAAATGCCAGGATCAGCATGTACCATGGCATACTCTGCCTGGAATCATTTAAGTATGGTTGTGGTAAACAAAGACTGGTATCATCTATGTCCAACTCGAGGATAAAAACCAGCAGGTGTTGTATGGAACTCACTATAGATACAATGCAAAACATAAACTCTGCTAACATAAGCGCCACCTTGAATGAGAGCACATGTCTCTCGATAATTTCAGTAAACATTTCTACTCTAATCAGAGGTTTGAAGAAGGAATTGGTGACCTAGAGCACTGAGTGCCATGTAAAGGAAAGTTTTATTCAGATGTGACAATAGTAATCCTTTGCCATTCGTTCTTTTTTATAAGGAATTAAAATTTTCACCGTGAGATCAATTTGCTCAACAACTTATTACATTAACCTTCTTAGTAATTTTCTTTAGCTCCTTTCAAAGCAATCTTGGAAATTCGTACTTTTCATATACACACTTGAAAATTCCACCAAAATGACATTGCCTGTTTTTCAACAATCAAAAAGAACCTCAAATTTACAACTGAATACCCTCCCCACCCCTCAGATGATACTTCAGAAGGCAACTGTAATTTAGATTAATTGCATTTATGTACTTCAAACCCTTGGCTACTTACTATCAGCGAGAAGTTCAAACGCTAGAGCTCTTGTTGGAGGAGATCCAAAGATCAAATTGTATGTTCAAACAACCACATTTTTCCTCTGTGGTTCCAGTCTTCTAAAATCTGAGAGTCCTGCTTTTAAAACACCCTCCCATAAACATGAAGAAGGATAAGTGACCTACCTTGGAAAGTCCGCCTACTTCCAAATAGAAGCAGATAATGAAAACATTCCAGGTGACCCACAGGGCAGTCCACACCGTGTACTAAACACAAAGCCAGACGAAAGCAAAAAGACAGAAAAATAAAATGTGAAGATGAAAAGACTTTACAGTGAGCAGATCAATAATAAAAAAACCTGATATCAATAAGCATTGTTCTTCTGGGAACAACCAAGCACAGAGAGTTCAGAAAAGGAGTTCTCCCTACAGAAGTACCCTAAGAAGCACTGGAAATTACAAATCCAATATTCATTGCTGTACTAAATAAATACCAATAAAACATATTTATTCTTTGTAGTTTTAGACTATCCTACTGATATCAATTAAGTCCAAAATGCTGACCTAAACACTGGTTTTGTGGCAACTGTAAGTAATTTTTAAATTATGATTGAGCTCTTTTGAAGGAAATTCCAGAATAACACAGTACTTTAAATAAGCAAACATTGAAATAACATTTAAATATTATAAAGAAAGGCAAAAGGAAAAAAATCTCATCACCAAATAAAACAGAAGATCTATTGATCTGATAATCTGGATTTTTTTCTTTTAAACAAATACAGGTGAAACTGTATTTGACAGTAAAATGCACTTAAATTACAATAAAAATAACTCACTACGTCTCTAGCCCCTCTGCCATGAACCTGATCCTACAAAGCAACCTTAACAGTTGAATGTATCCATATCTCTTCTGAGTTCTCCAATGTCATATTGAACTCATACTCCACCTACAGCATGAATGGGCAAATAATTTGTCTACCTTAACTCAGCTTGACGTCACCTTGACTACTGTGTCCAGTTCTGAGCCCCTCAGTTCAGGAAGGACATTGAGGTGCTGAAGCATGTCCAAAGAAGGGCAATGAGGCTGCTGAAGGGACTGGAGCACAAGTCCTGCGAGGAGTGGCTGAGGGAGCTCGGGTTGCTCAGCCTGGAGAAGAGGAGGCCCAGGGGTGACCTTATCACTGTCTGCAACTACCTGAAAGAAGTTGCAGCCAGGAGGGGTCAGGCTCTTCTCACAGGAAACTAGCAGTGGGATAAGAGGGCATGGTCTTAAGCTGCACCAGGGGAAGTTTAGGTTGGACATGAGGAAGAAGTTCTTTACAGAGAGAGTGATTAGACATTGGAACGGGCCTCCCAGGGAGGTGTTGGAGTCACCAACCCTGAAGGTGTTTTCTAGCAAGAGAGTGGATGTGACACTTAGTGCCATGGTCTAGTAGATGAGGTGGTGTTAGGTCAAAGGTTGGACTCAATGACCTCAGAGGTCTTTTCCAACCTAGTTGATTCTGTGATCTTTGTGTCTTAATTGGCAGCACAATAGACTGGCACTATTTCCTTATAGATGCACTGTTTACTAACATACAACTGTAAACTATTCCCAGTGAACTCTCTGGGCAGTGCACCTCAGAAGCATTTCTGCCTGATGGACCAAGTGCCCACCCAATCACGCTCGAGCTACCTCCTCCTGAAAAAATGCAATGAGCAGCAGCACTGCCACTTTACATTTACATTTACACACTTAAAATCTTCACAGTGAAGAACTGCTGCTAAGAGCCTTTGCAAGTCCAGATGAGGGTTAATATGCTATTGTTTTGCTTCAATGTAATCATTAAAGCTCAACATACTAATCTACATCATGCTGGATCCCATTTGCATTGCACAGGTGCCATCAGTTTGGCCTTCTTGCTCAGTTTTGGGTTTTGTCCCTCTTCCTTCCCCTCCCTGTGATGTATAATGAAAGGTTCAGGTGAAGAGGATTGAATTTTTCCCCACTTTGATTAAGCTCCAATGCATTTCTGTACACCAAACCTGTGAACTTCTTTAATATAATTTCTCCTGAGGTAGGTAGACAGCTGGGAGATGGCTATGGCCTAAGAAGTAGGCAATTAATAAACAAAATAAGAGCAACACTCCTGGGCAGCTTCCTCTGTTTTACTGAGAAGGGCAGTGTGGCAACTGAAGGCTAAGTTATTATAAAATAGACAAAGCTGCCATGGTCTGTGAGCAGTATAATGTCTGCACTATTCATAAGATTAATTTAAAAGAGTACATGACATTTTACTACATTTGTTGGCTTTGTAGTAATTCATTATAAGCTACTGATTTTCCAGCATTTATCCTCAGAATATTATGTGCAGAGTGTTCAAAATTAATGAACTATTCATACAAGCCAGTTGTTTGTAAAAAGCAGAATTGAGACTATTCAGGAGAATTCGCCTTTTTAAGAAAGAATTTTTTATCTGTCCATGAACTAAATCTGTCACCACAACAAAAGGAATCCTGCTTCATCTGCCAGGCCAAGCCAAATCTGTTAATGGCCTCATTCTGTCCCATAGGCACCAATGACAGCTCTGTACTATGCAGGCAAAAACTGTCTGAACATGCTATCCCAGGCCAGGTTATTTTACAGTTTGTTTTTCCAGTTTGTTTTACAGTTATGACTGGTTTGGTTCCTTATCCACTGTGAGGATTTCTGAAAGAGAAGTACAGGTGCAAAGCAGGTGTACACCTTGAAACCCAGCTGCTGTGTATGGAGAGGCTCTTCCTACACGCTCACTGAACCGCAGAAGTCTAAATTTGAGCTCCATTTGCTTTATAAACATAATAATTACCTATTCAGTAATTGGTACTACATAATTTCTTTAAGTAAGAGAGTTATTGTCCACATTTGAAAACACATCTTTTTGGATATTATGCAAGGAGCAGATTTTTTATCTTGCATAGTTCCATAAGCAGTTAGGGAAGACTACATTAAACAAAACGTTATAGTCAACAAAAGCAAGAAAGCAAAATTAGGAATTGTCAGAATTTGGGTTATTTATGCCAATTTAATTTTTCTACTTTGTGGATGTGCAATGCAATGCAAACCTTAATTAAATCACCATAAATATATTCTTATTTTAAAAGATCTTACCTCCCTTAACACATTTTATAAACCGCTAACTCAATACTTCATTTCTCCTTGTCACTCAGACCCTGCTCTGAGGATAGAATATTAATTTCCTCATGAGGTTTACTAAGATGCTCATTGCTGTAATGTGCAGGAGCTGCGCAAACATTAAGTAATTTATTTTATATTATAAGGGAATAATACAGCTCTCAGAATGCAAATGATGTTCTGATACATGCAGAGATTACATTCAGAAGTATTCATACATTATAGACATCCAACTTAAGGTGCTTAAGAGTTCATTTTTCAGAACACTTGAGGTTATACAGTGCTTTATAAACTCTCAGCTCCCTAGGGTTGAGCATGCAGCACTTGTGCAAATCAGACCACAAGGTCTCAAGACAAGAACCCAGAATGCAAGGGGAAAACAAAGAGCATGACAAGTTTGGTTAAAGTGACTCGTTTTGTGTCCAAAAGGATTTCAGTGTTTGAGAGCAGAGATAAATCTCAGCTACATAGCACAGCCTTCACAGCAAAAGCAATCCTTTTATTCTTGCTAGCATGTGCCTCAGTCTTCCCACTGTCTTCTGTTTTCTGCAAATCAAGTTTCTATTCCCTGGCTGCGATCACCAGAAAACCCCCAGATATCTGTCCTTTCTATTGAAAGTGAGGTGACAGTATAGTAAGAATTGGTATACATCTATCCAGTACAGAATTGCAAATATATAAAAGGATCACAGTAAGATTGCACAGAAGGGCTTTAATAAAAATTTTTCTAAATTTTTGAGTGTTTCTTTCTGAAAATTTTGTGATACTTTTTGACCATTACATGTATGTGTGTAGATTTATACGTATTTACCTTCTAGGTTAAAAAAAATATAGCAATATTCCATGATGTGGCATCACACTAACACCTGTTTAAGTCATTAAGAAAGTTTTAACTTTTAGATCCATCATGAACACTTTTTTTTCTAACAGAGAAACAACCCAAATTACCATCCTCTGTATGAAGATCATGCATGCTGACAATTTTGTCTCAGCATGGGAATGTTTAGGGTCTGAAACTTTAGGTCCACACTGATCCTCAGGCTCCATTTCCCTTCCAAGGAACCTCACCTAACCTGTTTCATGACCTGATCTGCCATTCAGCCTCTCCCACTACATGTCCTAAACATTATCCTGTCCATCCTGTTGTGTTTGCTCACTTTTACTACCCCACATCCAGTGATTTCTGCCCCAGTTCTTTTTTACCAGCCACATTCAGTCCCCTCCAGCTCATCTGGTCTCATGCTCAGCATCACAACCTTTACCATATCTGGCATGAAGAAGGAACTTTCCACACAGGTTGAACTGAGAAGAAGAGTTGGGTTTTTTATTTTGCACTCAGTACGATGCACCACCTAAAAAATCACGTGGATGTTTTTGTAGTAGATTCCTTCTAGTGGAAGGACCTAGGACCTGGTAATAATCTTTGCTTATTTCCCCCTTGATGCACTATATCCCTTTTTTTTCCTTTTGCTCTTTTGCACTAAGGATTGTATACTAGGTGGTGTGAGGAAGTATTTGGAGTCTTATAAGTTATGTGGAAAGAGTACTTCTTAAACCTTACAGGTTTAAATGTCTATTAAATTACTGTCAAGCCTAGCAGGTTCCTTTCAGATCCCTTCTCATAATGCCAGCCTCTCTACAACAGTGAGATTCCTATAACTCTTTTGACTTTACATGTCGTATTGAAACCGATGCAGAGATACATTTCATGTATTAGTGAAATACAAACCTTTCTAGAGTTAAATCACTCACATTGGATGGACACAAAGTCACAAAAAGAACTGGTTAAGCAAAAAATGCAAAGGATGACTTCTTAAATTGAAAGGTAAAGAAAAAAGGCAATTTTCTAAGTTTGACTGTTACAAGGATTGGGGGATAAGTTTAGCTGTAATGAGTAAAGTATTTTAAGTGCGTATTTAAATCTGGGGGGCACTAGGGAGAATGCAGTTGACTCAGGGACACTTCAAGGGAAAGGAGCAACTCAGATCATCCCTCCGTAATACCTGGCTGTGCCTCAGAGGCATCAGTACTTGCAGAGCCTTATAAGTACTGGGAAGTGGCATAAATCAACATGATAGAGCAGTAACAACACAGGACTTACCAGGGAGGATATTGAAGGAGTAATTTTGGAAGCCCAAATATTTCATATGTGTTTTCACTGTCTGTGTAACATTTGTTTGAGTACAGTGTAAAGCATCCTGTACAGCATTTCTTGTGCTTTTGTGGTTTTTGGTTTACGCTTCTTTAAGAAAATCTCTCCTGGCTTTTCAACTGTACACATTGCCTATATATCATATTATATTATTTATTGGAATACATTAAGGCAAGTAAAGCAGAGATTTCCACCTTATATTCTGCCTACCTAAGTGTATTAATTTCATCCTTCACTGTTTCACTAACACATTTTTATTCAGGTTTGGGTCTAGTTTGTAAAATTTTAACTGTATGACTCATCATTCAGGAGCCTTTTGAAGTTCCACATCAGAAGTAGAAGAGGGGGAAAATCCCCAGCTTTAACAAGTATCCTGTCATCATCTTTTATCAGTTTTAACAGCCTGGAAATCTTGCTGCTGACAGCAAGTTCTATTAAGAAAGGAAAAGCATGCATAGGGAAATGGATCACACCAGAGCTCTGGAGCTTTGTGACGCAAGTGTAACAACATGGTTAGAGCTGAAATTTAGCTGTTTTTTTCTTCTTTACAAATGTTTGAGCAAGTTTCAAATGAGCTAATATGGGAAAATTAGGAATCAGCTCTGCACTCTTATGTCCCCTGGGAACTTTGCACTGATTTAATTCAGTCAAAAAATATTCAAATACTGAAAGTAGCACATTTTCTTAGTGAAAGAACAAATTGTTCACAAAATTTATCTAAATTACTAATTAATACAAAATGTATTAGAAATAATTATTGGATTTAAACTAATTAGGGCACTGGAAGTCAATGTTGCTGCTCCCTCTTTCTCTGTTTCCTAAGCTCTGAGGACTTGGAATTTTAGTTATGAGCAAGTGAAATTCCAGATTTATTTCAGAATTACCATCCATGTATCTAAAAGACTGTAGACAGACGACATGAGCCACTACCTTAAAGTGCTTTGAATGACAATTGTATTCAATGGAGATGCCTCATGAATCAGCTATTGTATGACGGTTCATACATAGTGGGGTGTTTTTTTTTGGTAGAAAGCTCTCATGACAAATTTTACATCACTCAAACTAATTTCTTTCTTCAGACTTTCAATCTACGATGGCTATGCTTATGCTGCTGTCAAAGAAATGACTGTAGATTATGCAGTCATTAAATGCTAGTGATACAGTAAGTAGCTTGGGTTCCATGGCAGTGGAAGAGGAGTTAGAAGCATGCAGATGCTATTGTGTTTATCAGTTTTTATTACAGCCCTCACTGAATTCCTTGGCTCTGCGTATGTGCAACAAAAGCCTGCTCAACTGTGCCTGCAGAACTAGTCTCATATTTGACTGCAGTATAGATGTCCTTCGAGTTATAGTCCTACATGTATTACAATTATTTACTTACTTTCTTATTCCTTACACATGTTAAAATTTGAGGAGAGAGAACACGACATATGCAGCATAGGATGGCAAAGTGAAAGCTTTTGTGTAACTTCTCTTGTCAGGGAAATCTTCAGGCACAGACTTCATTGCACAGAAGATAGATTAAAAACATTCTTTTGAGATTAAAACAGCGACCCTAGACCTGGTCAGCTTAAGTCAAGATCACCACCAGAGTATGACAGAATATCATGGGGACAACTTGCGCTCACATGTGCCAGATCAATTTTGTGTAGACAGCTTACAGAAGCAAACTGTTTTATCTGACATGATTCACACTTTACTTCAATTTTTTATCTTTGGATAAGATCATCTGCACTAGTAAGGCTGAATTCCAGTGAAGTCTTAAGGAAAAGACAATGGATACTAAGCATACTTTTCTTGAAGTAATTGGTTACTTTTCCAGTGAAATTGGATTAGGCTTAATCTAAATCAGAAGCTTCAGCAACCAGAGTACATAAAACCATTACTCAACCTATTACTTCTGCCAAAGACACAGTACCAAATTCTCAGGACACCAACAACTTACATATCCAGGGGCTTTGACATGGCTGAGGGTGCAGCTATGGACTTGGAAGCCCATGAAGCTTCTCAGTTAAAATTTGGTGCCTAATTCACTAGTGAGAGCTTGGGTAGGACTCTATCTGCATTGTGGTTAATATTGAAATTCAGGACCTTTCCGAAGATTTACATTAAACAGACTTTATACTTGAAGTCAGCAATATAAGTTTACTGCTGTAACAAGTGTTTTCAAAGGGTTTCAGAAGGAGGAAGGTAAGCTATGCCCTTCCTTGGGAGAGTTCCATTCAGATTCCCTTTTGCCTTAGTGAAGACAGCCTGGAGCTGGCATTGGTTAAGGTCTTTACTGTCTGTACCACTGACTCTGTCTGGGGCTTCTGTGGACAGAGGGCAAAGTACTGCTGTGGTTGGGACAGCCCTAGGAAGCACACTTTCTGAGGAGCACGTGATGGGTATAGCCTGGTAGATCCTCAGGCTATACCTCAACAAGCACTTTGAGCTGGTGTAACCCTGCACTGCTGTAGAAAGACCCCTTGCACTTCTCTTCTCTTTTCTTTAGCTACTTGTTCCCGTTTTCCCCCAGCATCTCTTCACTTCTGCTAGAACAAGCAAAACGTGTCAGAGAGCTGACCTACACTTAAATTACCACCAGTAAAGAAAACATTTGCTTTTCAGTTGGATCTGTTCTGGTTTGACAGTTTACCAAGGGGTTGAACTGATGCTTGTGCTGGTGAAAATGAAGGAACCGCACAGGGACTGAAGGAGCAGCTGAGCTAAAGGACTATTGCTTATGCTTGAGGAATCAACTGAATTCAGCCTGAGGGCAAGATGCTAGGCAAGATGCTGAACTGACAAGTTTGTAGCTGGCCACAGCTGAGTATTGCAGCTCCTCCTTTCCCCTCCACCTCCACACGGCCATTCACGACCATGCAGTCCCAATCCCTCCGTTATGTTGGCCCTGGCAACCATTGGGAACCTCGCAGACTGGGTTCAGCTCATCAGTTTAGTGAAAAACTCTCCCACTTTTTACTAGGTTGGTTTTCTGATAGCTTAGGAGTGGAAGTGGCTTAATGAAGGATCCAGTTAATTGCTGTCAGAATTGGTGGGGAAGATATGGAAAAGTATTCAGCCAAGGAAAAGAACACTTGGAACAGGGAGAAATGCAAGCCACCTACTTCTGCTGGTGTTGAGCTGTGAGGCTAGTTCTAGACACCTTGTGTACCTTCACTCTTCAGACTTCAGGATTTGACTCAAACTACTACTACTTCACTGGGAACATTGTGTTAGTAAAAGATAGAAACTGCTCTAAAGCCTTGATCTTCCCAAATAATGAGCATTTGCACCTACTGTAGCTTGAGCTCTTAAATATATGTTTAAAGATTAATCAGAACACAAGTTCAGTTAAATCTGAGAAAAAAGTGTTTTGCTGATAATGAGTTTCTTTCTTTAATTATGAGTTTGCTTAAAAAACCCCCACACTTTAATATAGCCTAAAATGTTCATCTATATTGGAAAAGATATAGAAACAGTCAACATCTGTTGCATTTCATTTGGGAATTAAAGCAGAGCTCGTGTTACTGAACAGCAGTGCTGATCCTGAGGGGTAAGGAATTTTGTAATGTTATACTTTAGACGCATCTCTTACTTAATTTTACAGATGTTTACCCTCACTTGCTTCTTATGCATAAAATGGAGAGCATGAAGCATCAATATGTGGATGCCCAGTTCTCCAACCATAGTTAGAATCTGCTTGTAAGCTTAGCTAATGTGAGTACAACCTTGGGGGCAGTTTTTGTTTACTTTCCCTTTTAAGACATGACAAAGAATTACAATATTCCAGGCTTAATTAGAAAAGATGAAACTTTTTAAGTATTTGTTCAATCAGTTTTCCCCAGTAGACATTTATTTCATTCTTTTCTGAGGAAAAAGAAAGATAACTTCAGCCTTTTAAAATCCATAACTGACAACACAACCGAGATGTTCCAGACACAAGTAATGCCAGGTAAGGCATAATATTTATCCATTCAAGAGAGTGTGGGGGAGGAACAGGGATATTTTTTTTGTTGGCCGTTTTCTTCATGGCTTTGAAAATTCATTTTATTCCTGCTATGTTGAGAACATGGGAAAAACCACTGTGAAGCTCCAAGTTACAAGCATCAGAGACAATTAACAATAATTAAGGGTCAAGACCATAAATACGGGTCTTGACAAAATCACATGTAAGTGAGAAGGAGATTTCTTTGCAACCTATGGTTCGCAGGACCAAAGAAATTTCTACCATCCTTGCTTCTCCCTGTTAAAGAGTTGTAGCTAAATATAACTTGGCCATTACAAATATTTTTTGGTTGATTTGATTGATTTGATTGATTCCACTTGTCTATTGAAGAAATAACCACAATTTGTATTTGATTTCTTCATTTATGCATATTCTACTTGGCTTGTATCATAGTTATAATTTTGACAGCATTTTCTCCAGGTTTCCTATTCTTGATGACTTCTAAAATCTCAGAAAAGCCCATCAGTAGTCCTAAATTTGCAAAAAGACATGGAGACCTCTACAGTTTTTACAGAAATACCATCTGGTGTTTTGACACCAAGAAAATTCTGTTTTGTAATATGACAGGTTTTAAAACCAATTGCCAAAAAAAAAAAAAAAAAAAAAAAAGATAATAAATGAGACTTACCACGACTATATACCGAGGCCTAAACTGGATGGTTCCAAACAAACCCAAAATGACAACTATTATTTGCAGGAAATTGCCAAGGATAGGAGCCCATTGGAAACCAAGGAAGTCAAAGATCTGTCTCTCTAATGCTGCCAGCTGTAAGAAAACACATAAACAGAACATCCGCTTTTTAATTATGGGTGAGACAGAACACTTGACATTTTCTTTTTTGCACCAGACTTCACCAGAGAACAGTATAGCAAAATTCTGAAACTATGGTTCCTGTCTGTAGCCTTTGTCAGCATCATCAGGACACTGATATCTGAAGATAGCTACTAGTCAACATACAGTTCTTCTAATAAAAAAGCACTTTGAAAAAACTTTTAGAAAATATTTTTAAAACCACATATAATACAAAAATACCTCTACAAATCAAATGCAGACAAGTTTTATTTTATTCTTGTATTCTGGAAACTCCAAGGCTTGACAAATTTCATTTAATTAAAAATTTGTCTTAAACAGAAGCTCACCTGGTTGGAGCAAAACTATGCAAACCTTGCTGTTGTTACTGAAATATCACCATGCTCCTTTTCTTCTCCACATCTTTGTTGAAATTTAGTTTCAACTAGACTTGACTGCAAGTTCCTCAATCTATTCCTAAAGGCCCAAAAAAGCAGAGCAGGCTCATAAGAGTCCCAGATGTGGTACCGGGTATGATCCCAGGAGTTCCTAAATGCAGGAATTAGGGAAGACTGCTGCAATCTCACTACCTGAGGCACAGACATAGATTCAGGGAGTGAAAGGTTGTAGAAAATGTTGAAAGACCTCAGACCAAGCTGGTTTAAAACCAACAGCCAAGTGAGCTATCTGTGCTCTACCAAAAGCTGGTAGTTACTTTGGGCAACTTATAGATCAGAAAGAAATAGTGGCAGCCTAATAGCTCTCTTCCCACTGTCCCCATGGCATTTTGGATTTGGATTTAGATGGCTGGGGAAAAGGAGGAAGCTATGAAACATCAACCTTCATCCTTGCATCAGCATGTGGTTCTTAGGTAATTCTGCATTTCTAAACATTAGACAAAAAAGGGAGAAAAAAGCCAGACAATTTTTTTTCTGCAAACACATTTGCTACTCATTTTTGACAATCCAGTCTGTTGTTCCAAATATACAAAATCAACTTTCTCAGCAGCACATTAGTTGAAGTCTAAACTTGGTTCAATATTTTTGCAGCTGTAGCAAGATATTCATAAGCAACTAAAAAGACTCCTACAGAGAAATAACTGAGTTTCTGTGCTTGCTAGAATTTATTAGCATCTAGTTGATTTTACTACATTGTTACAAACCCTAAAATTTACCAAAATATGCACTTAAAATATTTATAACTCAGACAGATGGAGTAAGCATGGCTCTATGAATACCAACCAAAGTATTATCATATGTGGGTATTTTACATAAACCATTTCATTTTACACATAATGATCAGATTCAATCTTTACCTGCAAAATGGGGCTAGGTGTCACTGAGAGTAGAATTCATCTTTTCTGTACAAAAATCCTCCCTTAACCATATTTGAAAACCATTTTCTCTCTGCTGAGGTTAATAAATATGATAAATCTAAACAATGAAATGAACAAAAGTGAATCATCAAGTCGGTGCAGCTGCTCTGCAATCAGTGAAGTGACTTTTATCAGCTAAACAGCTGGCCCAGTATACATAAATGAAAGATTATCATGCAGCAGACAATGTTAATGTGATATTATCCTCTTGGACACATAAGATGTTCCTATCTTTACAGAAATTCTTATCCTTTTTGTCATAGGTAAGGGAGAATCTCAGATGGAACACCACACAAAAATGTCAGGTGAATGTCTTCACCTTGTAGTAGACTCATGACCATCACAATAATGGTCTAGTTGGGACTTCACAAGGGACAGCTCAGAACCATTTGCTTTTCCTGCCACTCTCTACTGAGCTCTCTCAGATGGCCCCACATTTGGGAATAACCTTGCCTGTAACTTCCCTAAACCACAGGATGGTACAAGGGTGCCCCAAATCCCATGTATTTATTAATTTAGTTAATTAGTTATTTACCAAGATGGTAAATAAAGAGTTTTGAAAGCTCTTTGGCACAGGTAGAACTTATAGTTTATGGTCTAACAACAACATACCAAGAGTCCTGTCCTGTATCACATAGGAAGACATTTATGACATCTATGACCAGAGCCAGAGCCTTTTTCATTCCTACCACTACAGACCACCAATTTTCAGAGACAATGTATCTTCATCGTGGAGCCCTGACTTTGCCTAGTGAGCTGAGGATGGAGCTGTCAAATCAGACTAGAATTTGCTTACCAGCCACCTCTGCCCTGCCATTCATTGAAACTCCCCTTTAGCCTAGGTCTTCACCTGCACCAGTAAACTGTGTCCCATCACACTCCCAGCACTGAAGCCAGCTGGCTTAGGACTGCCTCCATTAAAGCATCCTTGGCTCTGAAACAGGGCAGATGTGTGCAAACAACATACCCACTACTCCAAATGATCCCTGGCTATGGGTGAACTGTCTGGGAAGACCACTGGTCACAATAAGCCTGGTTAACCTGATAGAAAACTCTGATGGCTCGCTAGCACCCGTGATGCTACTGCCTGGCTTCTTTCCCAGGCCCATATGAATGTGCTGGTGTAGGGAGCATAGGGTTTGCCCAGAGTGGGTATTCAGAAGATTCACTTCAAACAGGTGGTTCACTGCAAGAGATGAATGCCCTTAGGCATTTTATGTAGCACTGAAACACCTAGAGCTATCTGAAAGACAAAAGCCTGAAGCACAAATATGAATACTGCAGCACAGGTATGAATGAAGCTATTTAGTATGTGTCCCTTCTTAAACTGGCCCTTCAGAGAAATTTTCAGATCCGTGTAGATCAGCACCTTAAATGCCTAAAAGACACAGTACCACAACATAAACAAACACAACCACTGCACTTTGCCAGCAGACCCATGTTAAAAGGCTTATTATTCAGTTCATGTCTATACTGTATCAGACACCATTTGCCTTCATGTGCACCTCCTTGATATCTGCCAATCAAGTTCTGAATAAATCCAGCAGGCAAATTAGGGCTCCCACAAAATAGTACAGTGGCCATAGTATTTCCCAAAGTTGATAGTACACATCTATATATCCACCATAGATACAGTTACACATTCAAAAATAATTAGTATTTCCATGGTTTATTCTGGTAAAGACATCCACCACAACCACAGAGAAATAAGGTTCAATTTCCTCTCCTGCTGCCTACTGAGGTATTTATTCCTCTCCTTCCACTTCCTATCCATTAGGATACCAATAGAGAGAGCTTCTCCTTGAAGCTGTGTCACAGGCAGAAAACAAGAATTTGCATTTAGTGAGTCAAAAAGAGAGCACAAGCAGAAACCTGAGTCTGCTGTCTATTGCTTATGGCACTTATCCAGAATTGGGAGAGCTGCTTGTGTTTCTTGCCTGCAGGGCTCGCTCTTTATTTTTATATACAGTGACAGCATGAAATCAATGAAGGAGCCCTGGAAGCAGGATGCCAAACATACAGTAGCATTCCTTCCCCACTAACAAGTGCTCTCACTATCTGGCTATGCAGTGAGACCTTCCTGCATAGCTAAGGCTCATTTATTTTGCTCTTGTCGCCAACACAGAGTAATTTGTCTCATCCCTAAAGCCCACAGAATACATTAGCAGGGGCTGAGGGGAGAGAGGGGCTGAAATATAAAGAAAATAAAGAGGTGGGAGGCATGTCTATCCTGCTCAAATTGCTACTTTCTTCTAAATTATAACACCTTCTTGCAGGCAGTACAGGTAGAAGTAAAAAAACCTTATAATTCACGATCATGGCAGAGGAAACACATTAAGTTCTGTATTCTTTATACCATGAGCAATATGCACTGAATAGAGAAAACATCTGAGTACTTCTGTTCTTATGTCTGATATTTCACCAAGCAGAGTCCCCAAGCAGCAGTGAAGGCCACAGACTTTTTAGCTCTGTGCAAATAAATAAAAGCAGCCCCTAACAGTCTGTGATTCAGGTAATTCATTGCACAGAACTCATGAGAATAAAGGGAAGGAAACAGGTAGCTGTGCACAATTACAGGCTCATTTTACACACATATGAAAAGCCAGTACTATCTCTGTTTGCACAAAGTCTCAGTAGCCAGCATTGGCCACCAGACTAACCTATGCCACATGGTGCAGTTGGAAAGCAGCAGACACTGTGACAGATGGTTTCACTTGAAGTTATGTGCATGTGAGTACATCGAGATGTTTCACCAAAAACATTTTGATGATTAAGAAGCTGTTTTTCTCAAAGAGAAATTTTTCCACATGAATTTCTGCTTTCATCACCATTTTCAGATTCTTCTGAAAACAGCCAAAAAAACCCGAAACCCTGAAGGCAAAGCGGAGGTTGCCAAAATTATCTGGCTCAACTTCTCCCATTGCTAGAAGATAGATATCAACTTAGAAGGGCAGAGGAGCCTAAGGCTGAAGAAAGGGGGTGTGACTGAGGTCCTCTGGGGATTTACTGTCATACCACTTATCTAACAACTTGGGAGAGGTTGGCACCTCTACTACTCATGATAAGTAAGACAACAAAGTTTGGGAGTGTCCACAATAAATTGCTGTTTGATACTTTTTTTAATGATTACCAAAGAAGTAGAATGAAAACCCAAAAGAGGAGACTTTGGTTTGGGCAACTTAAATACTGGTTTCCAGTTGAGTAAAAAATTTTCATGAGAACTTATAAAAATCTATCAAGGATGATAGGAAATAACATTTCCTTACCATAACAACACTTGGAAAAGGAGACATGATATTTCTTGCTACTGCTGGCAAGGGAGTGCTTTGTTATTTAGTCATCATGATCACCGACAACCTTGCAATGTAAAGTGCAACTCCGGAGATTACGACTAGAAGTAAAACGCTCTAGTGGGGCTTAATGAAGATATGCCACACCTGTCTTGTTCTTTTACCTCTTTATTTTGCTAAGTCTTTCAAACATTCCCCATTTCCCACTTCCTCCAGAGTGCAAGGAGAAAGTACTACGCTGCAAGACAGGACTCCACTAAAGTAACTCAGGTTGAACTTTCTCTCATGGCCATGGCCAGGCCCTCTTGCGT